TATATCGCATAGGGGTTTTTTTAATCCAGATATAAAAACCCTCAATGCGTCGCCCCTATATTTTTCATTAATTGCGTTAGCAATATCTGCTTCGTAAGTCATAATAGTCTTATTAGTTAACAGCGTAAGTTTTTTCTCTATTTCGTCGTAAAACTCGAGGATTGTCTTTGTTCCCTGTCTCAATGTTGACAATTCCTGTTCAATAAGGTAAGCCGGACGCTTATCCGAGTAAGTAAAATCCAACCTAGCAATTATCGCATCGAAATTGAGCACTGTACTAAAAGATGATAATACACCGTCAGCAGCACCTCTAATTTTATTTCTTATAATTGTTACAGCTTGAAAGTGGCGTGAACTCCCATTAAACTCTTTAAAAATCTCATACACATTATGCGCTGCGTCGCGCCAAGACACGTATGTACCGGGTTGCCCAGAAAAATCGGGGAGAGATTTCACAGCATCAAGCGTTTCTTCACATTTTATTCCCGGCACAATTTTAACTTTTTCCCACGTTTTTGCAGCCGGTTTATTAGATATACCACTAATTTGGCTTTTTATATTATTTAATTCGGCCTCAAACTCTCTTCGTGTATATTCAACAGCTTCGTCTACCAAAAATTTTACTTGATCTGCATTCACTTTTAATCTAGTCTCATTTAAAGTTAATTTTTCAAAAAAGTTTTCTAATTCAAGCAAAGAAGAGTCGCACATAAAGAGCACTTATTCTTAATTTAAATGCCAGCATAGAAAACAGTTCTCTCTCTTTTTTTTTTTTTTTTTTTTTTTTTTTTTTTTTTAAATTTTTTTTTTTTTTAAACACGTGTTTGAGAAATTTCATACAAAAATGAGCAGATCACTTACATTGGTTTTAGAGTTATTTAATGTATTTGCAAAATTCTTTTCGCAGCGTTGATGATTTTCGTCTATATTCGTCCAGTGTTTTCAATGCCTGTAGGTCGGTCCTCTGGATTTTTCTTGTAGTACAGGTTTTTCCGTTGGGCGCCAGTTATTTTATTTTGTAATGTGGAGGCTTTATTTAGCGATCCACAAAAGATGTATATCAGCTCGACTTTATTCTAATTAATAGCTATTAGCAACCGCTTGTGCGTGTTGCTCTTAGGTGAGTTCTTTTTGATACTGCCGGCCACGCGATCTGCTCCAAGAGATAAAGCTTGCCCATCATTTCCGCCAATAATCGGACGCCACGTCAGCAACCACATGGATATTTGACGTTTGTGCTATCAGCTGAGAATAGCTTTGTGGGGACAAAGCTTCGAGTGATAACCACAGGGAGATTCAATGATAGTGCTATCAACTGAGAATAGCTTTGTGGGAACAAAGCTTCGAGTGATAGCTTTTAAGCCTCTGTTTCGAATGAAACTTTGGATTTACAAAGCTTTACATGATAACTTGTATTTACAAATTTTTTTTAAATGTCCATATGTATAGCGCGGATATAGAGTTTATCACTAAAATTCGATAACTCATCCCGTTATTTTTTTTATAGATATAAAACCTTATCGAAATCAGCTATTAAATTGTATCTCCTACATCTCGAAATTTTAAATGTATACTTATATGTATTTTATACAGTTTCGGTGTTTGTTAAAATTTACCCCCCACCCCTATATTTATCCCTTCAAATAATATAGACTGGTGCTTTGGCAAATACATGCATATCCAAGCTATAATCATAATTTAAAAGTTTCATGATGAAAGAACATCCACAAGAAAAGCTATTGACCAATTAAATTCCCATTGTAAGCTACCACTGCAGCCAATGAGGGTTTATGCGTGCGGCGTGTTTGTGTGCGTGTGTGTGTGTGTATGATGTGTGTGTATATGTGTGCGTGTGTGTGTCTTGTGTAAGCAGAAAGACGCGAATAATGATTGAATCAGCTATTGCTCGAAGGGTTCAGAGGATCTCGAAGGGCTTTCTTACTTGTTTTTTTTTTTACTATCATAGAAAATAAAATTTTTAACGTAAATTACCTTATATGTCGGATTATATCCGTCTCCAATAATTTACGCCCCAAATGAAGTCATTTGGAAACAGGCATTTTTTTTTGAGTGTTCGTTAGAAAATGTAGTAATTCTAGTGTTTCGCCATAAAGCAGGCAACGCAATGGCCCTGGTGGCGGGACCAATGTCACTTTACCACTAAGGCAGCACAAACCGGGCGTTTCACCAGCAAACTTCAATGCGCCACAATGCTGGCAAACAACGTCCATTGGACCAATGCAAACTAAACGATTCAAGCTGTAGTCAATGGTGCAATCATATCGAAACATTGCTCGATTCAAATCAATCCGTGAACCATTTCTTATTGCCGTTTCACGGGCTGCCTCTCTTTGAGAAGCACGAATTAAGGCCCTTCTTTGCTGGGTACTAACCCGTCCCCTTTCTCGGGCGATTTCTCGTTCTTCGTCAGATAATTGACTCGCGATATTCCGATGCCTAATTGCATTATGGGTCCGCCGGGAAAGATTTGATCTTCTAGGACGCGGCATTTTTATCAATAGGAACACTGAATATTTTATTGTATTTACTTTTATACTATTGTATACTATGAGAGCAGGACCGAAAACTGTCACTGTTATCAAGCCTACTGAGTATCAATGGAAATTTGAATCTTTAGGGGAAAACCCGCGTTTTTCAAGTATTCGTCCAATTTTTTCAGTATTTTTAAGATCTACTATCCTACTCGTGGCGGAGACAAATCCAACAAATCAATAACCATGAAAATTGGTCTAGCAGATCTCGAGTTATAAGTGTTGGAGCACTTTTACACAACTTTCTTTTATATATATAAATATAAAAAAAATATAATATATATATATATATAAGTTAAGACTTTCGACAATCTAAGGAGGCTGGAGAGTCCAGTCAGACATTCAAGCGGAAAACCTAACAAGTAGAACAGATTTAGTTCAGTTTATATTCGGACTAGAGAGAGTTTAGACCTATTGTTCCAAATTATATAAAATATATTTTTTCATTGAACACAACGTTGTTATATATTCACAAGAACCCAACACAGCGTCCCCCAATTACTAGTACTCTAGTGTGGGAGCGCTTAACATATATATATATATAGATATATAGATATAGATATAGATAGATGTAGAGAGCCTTCTTACTTGTTTTTATACAAAAATATGTGCTGTAAACTTGATGTAAAGTTTTAGTAAAAATTATGATTTAAGCACTCATGATTGAATCAGTAGGTAACAAAGGGGCGGTGTGAAGGCGTGATCTTTAAAATAAATTTTTCGAAATTCTGTTTTAGTCTACTTTAAGTGAACGCAAAATTATAACCCATTAGCTTTACTTTTAGAGTTTATGACAAAATTTCGGGCCTTTTCCCGATCGTGAAGTGTAAGCTCCTCTTATTTAATAAGTTAAAGAGTTCTCTTTTAGTGGGATTAATTTCATAAAAAAATCGTTTTAAGGATAGTTTTTGTCAAAGCACAAGTCTCTAGTAGCTCAAATATATTGTTTCAAATTTTATGAAGAATCAAATCAATAAAGTAAAAGTAATTTATCTTGTATTTCGAATTGTAAACGAGAAAAAACACTTGAAATTGCAATCTTTTGCACTACTGCTGTTGAGATTGTACGTATTTGCTGTGTGTTTATATGCATTTACGTGCATATGCATGTTGCTCCACACAGCGACGCGAATACTGTAGGAGCGACCGTCGCACTGGAAAGGGGGTCAAAGTCCTGTAGGAGGCGGTCTCTTTCGCTCCTACAGATTCAGCAATGGGTTCGCGTCGCACGCACGACGATCATCGGTGACCGTTAGCCGAGGTGCCGTTCGGGCCGGGTGATAGCAGTGGACATTTTCACTCGCATGGCAACAACGGTACTTCGGCCAATGGGAGATTGCCACGCAATTTGGCGGGAAAGTGGCGTCACCCAGATCACGCCACTTTATCGTTTTTATGGGCACGAGCAACAGAAAGGCCCCGCTCCAGAGCCGAACAGGCCCCGTTACCACACGAAGCAGGGCCTGTGGCTGGGGTATAAAAGGCCACCAGCAGCTCCATACGCGGCTGCCGGAACTATAGTGAAGAGAAGATTTAAAGTGAAAGTCGAAGTGCGTGAAGAAAGTGCCAAAGTCAAGTGAAAGTCAACGCGAGTGGTAAATCAGGACTCCCAGGACATCGTTGGAACAGCAAGGACATCCAGAGGGAATACTTGCGGATCATCAGCGGCACCGATCAGGACATCGGTGCATATCAGCGGCTTAAGCGAGGCCTGCACATCTGAGTAAGTTCACGTAGCCGTGCGCAAGAGAAGAGTTTGTGAGTGAAACGTAACTAGTGTTGTGCTGTGAGCGAGTGGGATAGTAGGAGAGGCCTGTATATCTGAGCGAACCGCCAGAGTTTACAGATCGAGATCCTGGCATTTCCCGAATCGTCCCGGTGAACTAGCGTGTTTTAGCACAACACTCTCCCAGCCGGAGTGCGTTGAACCCGCGCAGTAGGTGTGCTTCGCTAAAGCCAACGAGCGAACCAGCATAAATTTAAGTGACGTGTAAACTTCAAACTTATTCAAGAAAATATACATTTACGCTATAAAACCTAATTCACAAGTGACTAATTAATATCGCAAGGGCTTCAACAAATAAATTTGTTGGCACGCATCCACAGTCAGCTGAAACTAGCCCAGCTTAGACTCGGGATAAACCAAAGGCTCGTTACAAGATATTGAGATGAAATGATCGTATGTCGAAAAATTTAAATTAATTTATATAATATAGTCATCGCTAAGGGGAGTCTCCGTTCGTTAAGTTATATATGATGAAGAAAATATATATTTAATGGGGTCTACCACCCCCCCCCCCTCCCCCTCCCCCTTCCAATGATGTCATATAAGCTTGCTTAAGGAAGCTCATATTTATCCAACAATTTAATTTCAACTGCATTATAGAGTCGCAAAATGATTGCAATATCAGAATTAAATTATTTTTATAAAAATGATTTTTTTTTCAGGCAATGCTAAAACTATTCGTAATGACAATAGTTCCCGGTTTGGAAAATTTATGCAAGTCTGCTTCAATGAGAAACACACTATCGAAGGTTGCGTAATACAAGATTATTTACTAGAGCAATCACGGATAACATTTCAAGGACCAGGAGAACGAAATTATCACGTTATGTATCAATTAGTAGCGCAAGGACAAACAAACAAGGAAATGCGAGAAAATTTTTGCTTAAGACCTCCAGAATTTTATAGATATTTAAATACCATTGAAGATATTTCAGTGGACATAAACTTAGAATCAAGGAAATTCAATGAACTAACGATGGCTCTTACTGTATTGCAAATTCCACAGTCAGATATAGATTGTATTTTTAAGGTCTTAAGTTCTATATTATGGTTGGGTAATATCGAATTTATGGATATAGACGGTGAACGATGCGAGTTTTCCAAAACTGATGAAGAAATTATTGTCATATTATCTAAAATGATGGGTCTCAGCACTAATGAGCTTCAAATGGTCCTATTGCTACGCCAGATAAACGTGCGAGGAAACATAACGGAAATACCATTAAAGCTCCATGAAGTAAGTGGAAATATGTTTTTAAATTATTAAATATAAATCATCGGCTCCCTGAACCCATTGAAAATGGGAAATCAGGGTATAAGGTTTTTGTGAAAAATATGTAACGGACAGAAGGAATCATCGCAGACCCCATAAAGTATATACAGTAGAATCCGGCTATAACGACTCCGCTCAAAGCGTCCAACCGGTTATGTCGACGAAAATTCAAATATTCATGCTCGTGCAGAATGTTTGCGTTTTCGTTATTATTTGTGGGAAGGGTATGAAAGCGTTGGTGCGCATAATGAAAAAGTTTTCACGACGAGCATGCACACACACTCTCCCTTGCTACATGTACTATGAGCATTTGTATGCCTGTGTGCGAGGCTCTTGCTGCCTGTAGCAATTTTAAAGCCCAGCATATGCAAAGCTGTCTGGGGTGTTAAAGCCTCAGAAAAAGCGTGCAAAAAGCTTTCCACTAGTTGTCTAGTCTATGTGCTCTCTGGTTAGTGTCAGTGGTCAATACCCTTGCTTGTGTGCGTAGCAACGCCACAAATGCTGCTAAGACATAGAAAGGGAGAGAGAAAAAGTACAATGCCGACGTCACAAAAATGTTTCTAAACCATGATATTAAAATAAGTTTATAAAAAATGGTTGTTTTGATTAAAAACTTAAATTGTTTTATAGTAAAAGCTATTACGAACATGGCAACCGTAAAAATTTTAAAAAATATTTTTTACTCTTTCTGGTTAAATCGTCCTCCGGGTATAGCGACGTAAAATCGACGGTCCCTTGAGTGTCGCTATAACCGGATTCTACTGTATATTCTTGGTTAAGGCGACGAGCTGAATCGATATAACCCTGTCCGTCTGTCCGTCCGTATAAGTGCGTCGATCTCAGAAGATATAAGGGCTAGAGAGCAATTTGGCATGCATACTCATGCATACAATAGGCAGTACAAGTTAATCTTATATTTTCGATAACTCATCCGATAACTTTTTTATCGAGAATAATCGAAAAATCGACTTTGTTTTTTCAGTCTAATTTGAACACTTTTAGACCTGGAGACTTCAAATTTGCGTTGTATATAAAGTTAATGGATACAAAGATTTTGTTTTACAGATTTTGGCTACCATGCCCCCTTCGCCCCCAATTTGTAAAAAGTACTAGAATGTACACATATTTCACCATACGATTACTCTAGAAAAGTTTCATTGAGATTTTATGTCGGCAAAAGAAATTATTCAACAAATTGGCTGAAAATTTTTCCCTATGACATATTCCCTCAAAATCTTGATAAATAGTAGTTCAATATTTCAATTATGAATTGCCCTTAAAATTAACGATTTTATAACAATTTCTTAAAAAGAAGTAAAAAAAAAAAAAAAGAACAAATTATAGCTCAATTTCATTATTTGGTAAAAACAAAATCCGGACTGATGGAAAGACGAATATTAATATTTAATGTGGCCTGCTCTAGTTGCTCTAGTTGACTCGAAAATTCGCTTCTTCATTGAAACCAACAAATTTAATAAAAGGTCCTTTTAAAGACTTTGCCATTAATTTAGAATTTTCTTTTTAAGATCTCCAACTGTCCCAAATTGGCGATTATTGGCATACACCCGTCTTGCAAGAATACACCAGAGATTTTCTATCAGGTTGAGATCTGGACAACATGCTGGCCAGTGAAGGACATCAACATAACATTCCTTTAAATAATACTTAGGAAAATCATTGGTTTTCATGAAATTCCGTTAAATATGGAATGAGACTACTATCCAGAGTTTGAATATACTCTTCGCTGTTCATTCGGCTTGTTACAAACCTTAATTCCCAGGTACCAAATGAACAAAATGCTCACCAAATTATGAAGGAGCCAACTCTCTCCTTGAAAAAGATACGGTCCTATTCATAATCAGATATTTGCTTTCCAAGTAGCATTTCTTAAAAATTATCTAAATTTACTTAATTACATTGTCTGTAAATCTAAAAGTCTGCTCCGCACTTAATAAAGTCAAATTTGCTACTGTAGCCTGTAATTTTGATACATCAAAATGCAATGACATCTACACAGCAAAAGTTAACGGCTCTTTCTTAGTTTTCTTTAAATTGAACATAAATTTCGGTAAATTCTACGAACATGCCTCTGTCAACAAAGTCCTGTAAAAAATTTTTTTTAAAACCTTAAAAATGTTGCTAACACTGGTTTAAGGTTTATCACACTGAGTGGTTTATATGATACGTACTGTATATTATAAATATGCCGCTTTGAAGTTTTTATACACTGAACCCATTGAAAATGGGAAATCAGGGTATAATGGTTTTGTTAAAAGTATGTAACAGGCAGAAGGAGGCGTGGCAGACCCCACAAAGTATATATATTCTTGATCATGGCGACGAGCTGATCCGATTTGGCCCTGTCCGTCCGTCCGTCCGTATGTTTGAACGCGTCGATTTCAGAAGATATGAGCTAGAGATTTCAAATTTTTTTTTTAAATGTTCCTATTTACAGCGCGGATTTCGAGTTTAGCACTAAAAATCGATAACTCATTCCGTTCTTTTTTTTATCGATAAGAAACGTTATCGAAAACCAGTTATAAAAATATATCTTCTACACCTTTATTGTCTCAAAATTTTTTATGTATACTAATATGAATTTTATACAATTTCGGTTTTTGTCAAAATTTACTCGCCACCTCTAATTCACTCCCTTATCCTCACTTTTGTAAAAAGCGTATTTCAAATACTAGAGACTTGTGCTTTGGCAAATATAATAAAAACGCATATCTATGATATATTGATAATCTGAAAGTTTCATGAAGATAGTCCATCCATAAGAAAAGTTATTAAACAATTAAGTTCCCATAGTAAGCCAACACTGCAGCCAATGCGTGTTTAGGCGTGGGTGTGTGCCTGTGTGTGTGTGGGTGTGTTTTGTGTAAGCAGAAAGACGCGAAAAATGGTTGAAATATCTATTGCTCGAAGGGTTCAGGGGATCTCGTAGTCGAGCAGTCTCGACTAGAGCTTGTCATTGTTTTTTCAGCCTAATTTGAACACTTTTAGACCTGGAGACTTCAAATTTGCGTTGTATATAAAGTTAATAGATACAAAGATTTTGGATACCACGCCCCCTTCTCCCTCAATTTGTAAAAACGCATTTCAAGTACTAGAGACTTGTGCTTTGGAATGTACACACATATTCACCATATGATTACGTTCTGATTCATTATGATTGTATGTCTACAAAAGAAAGTATTCAACCATTAAATTTTCATAATATTGCCCACACTGCTGCGCAGCCCAAGCGCATTCGCTGCTTACTGCGCAGTTAGCAGAGCGCAGGCTTATGCGTGCGTGTGTATGCATGTGTATGTATGTGTGCATAAAAGAAGTCCAGAATGATTAGAATATCAGTTTGGAGGGTTCAGGGTATCTCCCAGTCGAGCAGTCTCGACAGGAGCCTTCTTACTTGTTTTGTATTAAATTTTTAAAGAATTTAAAAAATTTGTTTTTGTTTTTAGTTTTTTATTTTATTTATTTATTTATTTATTTTTTTTTTTTTGAATAACAAATACAATGTATTTATTTTGTTTTTTTAATTTAATTGGTTTTTTTTTTTTTTTTTTTTTTTTAAGAGAAAATAAATAAATAGATTCAATTTTTCAAGAGATGATGGTATTAGTAAAATGATCATTTATATATATACTAGCTGGCCCGGCAAACGTTGCATTGCCCTTTCCATTATTTCTAGGTAAAAAATTGTTGAAAGCTATGTTGTTCAGGTTGGGATACACTCTGATTAATTTATTATTCGGATTTTTATTCAAGCACCTTGTGGTAAACGACATCATTCTTCGTTTTTTGGTCAGGTGCAAGAACAAATAATGCGGATGGTTTGCCAACACGTGAGCATGCCACGTACAATTGACCATGAGAAAAACACGCATTTTCTAGATTGAGGCCACAAATAGTCAAAGATTGGCCCTGTGATTTGTTGATCGTAAAAATTGTATTTTAGAACCCCTAATAGGTTTACGACTCTTACAGCTGCTCTCTACTAAATTAAGAGTGATAACTTTTTTGTGTACCAAAAGCAAACAAAATGAAATGTATATAAAGTTAAAATGAAACAATGATTGATCAGCGGGTATTGTAAAGCGTCATATTAACGGTGCGTTTCAGATATTCTTTGTAGTTGCCCAGTACTGCGTCGTGTAAGCACAATATCGCGTGCTTCCAAGCTTTCACCAACAATCTGGATTGCGACTTCATCGATTGTTTGACGCATTAAATGTGCGTTCATGTGTTCCAGCTGGTCTTTTATCTGCTCTGATTACTACTTTATAGTCATCTCTTGGCATGCGTTCTAAAGCAGTCTTGAACAGCTTGACCAATGCATGATGTTCGTGAAGCATTTGCTGCAAATCTTGGAGAATTGCTCTTTTCATAGCTGTGTTAATTTCTTGACGCCGGTCAAGTTGTTCTTCCATATTGCCCATGAAGTATATTTGCAAGAATTTGTGCTGTGCATCTTCAATAGGTTGCAATGATCCAATGCGATGGAAAATCTGGCCTTGAATCTTTAAATTCAAAGCCATAGTTAGAGTTAGATTTACAAAAACTTTTTACAGAAATCTAACAAACTACATTATTCCAAAAAAAAATTTTTTTTTTTTACAATCATAGAAAACAAAATTTTTAACGTAAATTACCTTAAATGTCGGATTATATCCGTCTACAATAATTTCCGCCCCAAATGAAGTCATTTGGAAACAGGCATTTTTTTTTTAGTGTTCGCTAGAAAATGTCGTGATTCTACTGTTTCGACATAGAACAGACTCTGGTGGCGGACCACTAATGGCAGTGTCACTTTACCACTAAGGCAGCACAAACCGGGCGTTCCACCAGCAAACTTCAATGCTCCACAATGCTGGCAAACAACGTCCATTGGACCAATGCAAACTAAACGATTCAAGCTGTAGTCAATGATGCAATCATATCGAAACGCTGCTCGATTCAAA